GGGGTTTCAAGCTGTGGTCAAGTTCAAAAAAGTATATCTTTGTGTATTAGGCCAGCATCCGGATATCACAGGAAGTCTAGCATCTAAGGCAGTTGAGGGGGAAATGTCCATACTGGTCTGAGATGCTGCTGTGTTAAAGCAAGTCTACATCCCTTCCATAGGTCTGCTGTACCCTGCATGTTCACACTTCACTCAGCTGAGTTTGAGTCCTCTGTCAGTGGTGTCATGCCCACAGAAACTAGATTAATTCCCCCACAGCAGTGTTTACTGAGTGTTCTGAGAAAGGCGCTAGTCCTGTGAAAAATAAATAGGCTGTGCCAGTTGTACGTGCCCCGGTAGAAGAGAGCCAGTTTAAATTTGCATGAGTAATCTTTGCTTAAATTTTATCGTCAGATTTTACAGTTCCTATATTTTGAGTGTTTGACTTAGTCCTCTTAACATTCTTTTGGCTGAGGTTTTCTGGTTGTTTCATGAAACAAACAGAAACTGAGGCAATTACCAGGTGAACTTAAGCAAAGGTCACTAGCATTTGCATCCATGGTGAGATCATGAATGAGAGAAGCTTGAGAACTTCAACCACATGTGAGAGAAACCAGAGAAACCAGAGGTCAGTCAGGTGTGAAAAGGAGGTGAGGCTCATATTGGTGAGTTTCATATTCTGACTGATGGTCTGGGAAACTTGAGGGGAGACAGAAGTTTTCTGGTACACTTTGGCCCGGTAACTGATGTGAATCTGATAAATGGCAAACCTTTCTTCTCTTGCTTTTCATCAGCAAGTTGGTAAGGAGAAATAAGTTAAAGTATTTCCACAATACTTGCATTTTTACTACACTGTTTATGCTCAATTAGACTAATGTTCTGTACAACTATGATAACTTGTAAAATTTTACTGATCTTGCTTTGAGCAGCATGTAACAGAAACTCCTTGAGACTGAGGAATATAGACCTAACAGAGAACAAACAGTTCTAGAACACTGGAAAATTTTATTCAGCATTTCTGCATTTATCATTATAGCTACAGTGCTAGTGAAGCAAATCAAGATGACTAAGAGTTGGTTCAGTGTACTTAGCTACAGTGTAAGTAGGTAAATGTCAAACACGTTGAAGACAGAAGTCTGTCAATGCATCTTTCTTAGCTGCTTTGAGGAATATAGACATTAGAGTTGAATTTCAGTTTATGAAAGCGGGTGTGTTCCTTCCACCAGCCTGTTAGCCTTTCCTCTATACACTTAACTTCCTGAAAGTTTTATATATTTTTCCTTCATGGTGATTTTCATACCACAGGTAACCTTAAAAATTCTTCCTCCTTATTGTCTTGGCTTGTATTTAAATGACCCCAAGCCCATTTATATTTTCTGTTTACACAGCTTTTGTGCTGTTCTGCTGCTACTTCTATCCTACCTCACTACCACCTTGTCCCTTGATTTCTGTATTTCCTCTCTCTGTATAGCATTCAACATCCTTGTCAGACTGTATTCAACAGCTCCACTATACCAGGGAACATAGGGAAGAGCAGAGAGCATGTAGGACCTAGTGTTTCTCCTCTCAATTCTGATGTCTAGCAGCACTTCTGAGAGAATGGAGGCTGTTCTTGCTGAGCTTTGAAATCAGGAAGCAAAAAATACAGCAAGATATAGACAACTGGGAAGGCAACCTTCAACCTAGTGTTTTTTTGACTTTATCAGCAGCATTAAAACTTAAATATATTTTAACTTCATACACTGTGATCTGTGCTCATAATTGCAAAAAAAAAAAAAAAAAAAAAAATCAAAATAAAAACCTTGTTTATGAATTAGATGAAACTGTTTTTCTGTATATTCTTCATTTGTCCTTGGTTGTCTATAAGCGAAAGGTCAGTTGTTCATTGCAGTCCTTATGACTATAATTACAATCACTGAAACTTCCTCAAGTGCTTAGGTGCTCTTGCAGCACAGCCTCCTATCTCCTGAGCCACAGGAGGAGGGGTGAGTGAAAGCTACATTCAGGTTTCACCTGGCACCATACCTGGCCTACCACCCTTGAGCCAAACTCCACCAAACTCTGGTTTCTTAACAGGCACTTCAACTCAAGTCCAATCCCATTAACATCTCAATCCCTTAGCTACTCTAATTTCCAAGCATCCTGTATTGATCACTCTTTAAATCAAGGTCTGTTTGTATAACTGTAGGCTAATACAATTTTAAATAGTGGACTTCAACATGACATTTACTTACAATCTGACTCTCGTCAAGATCCAGATAAACACGTCTGTTTTACCATTACACAATACTCTCAATAACATTTTCCTCTAGCTCATGAGAGTTCTAGAAGGACTATCAGTCTTTCCACCTCATTTCAGTATGGTTTCAAAACCAGCAAACAAATATCCCAGGTGGCAAATATTTCTTCTCCCTCTTCCACTTACTGTTCTGTTAAATAAAAACTGCAAATAAACGTGAAGTGTATGATTAACCTTAAGCTTACCTTGCACTTGCAGTATTGGTAGGACTTCTTGGCATCAGGGCAATGGTGTTTTTTCACCTCCTGGAAAAGAACAGAGCAGTATTGTAATTACTCTTCCTGAAGTCTGGCTTCAGTATTAAAAATAAAAACTAAAAGGAGGCATTGGTCACAGTTTTTACAGCATAAAGTAGCCCTGACACCCTAGGTCACATCCAGTCACTTAGTATGTTCACACAAGTTTGAACTGAACCTCAGTTTTCTGATGAACCATGGGTCTTGTTTTCATCCTCCCGCCCCAACCACCTTTTTTTTTCCCCACAAAAATCAGGAATACACTGAAAGATACCTATTTGATGTAAACTGAAGTCAGTTTCTTTATATGTGAGAGGGATTGGTGCACGGAGAGGGAGGAGTGATTTTTGAGTGCTCAAAATTGGTAATAGTATTTCTAAGATAAAGCATCCAATTAAATCACGCAGTTATAAAAGAAGATATTGCTCTAGGCTGGAAATTACCTCAGAGGTAGATAGTATGTTACGTAAGATTTTACATGTTAAGGATTTTAATAAGGACCTTATATAGACATCACGTATACATTGGTATGATGGGAATAAATAATGGCCTAACAAATAGAACACTCTGAAGTTAGCGAGACATCTATGCAACAAACATGCAAATTTGTTTCAAATAATAAATCAGCACGTCAGTAGAGTGATTTTTTTTTTTTTAGCCTTCTCCAACATGGTGGTGTTTTATGATGTTTGATCATCTCCCCCTAACAAAGAAGCTGTATGCTTGAAAGACAAAAATTCCAAACAAGGTTTACTTAGTAAAATATCACTAACTAACTAAATTATCGATAATTAAAATTTTAAAGGCAGAGGTAGATTAAGTAAACCTTCAAATTTTTTGTAAGACATAGAAAAAGTAAAAACTATTACTTCCGCTCCACATTTTCTCAAGGTAACCTGACAGAATCTTTTTCATGGTATGATCTGTTCCCTTCCCATTTGAAATTTTTGCCAAAATTTTTGTTGTCATTACAGGTCTCCAAGAATGCTATTTTGTAAAGCGTGTTCACATTTTGAAATCTATCCAGCATGTTGCTGAGTGTATTTTTCCCATTTTCACATCCATTCTCAGATCACTGGAGTTCTGTGTGTGGTCCTGATGAAAATTATCCCCCCTTTTCCACATCATAGAACCATAGAATGTCCCAAGTTGGAAGTGACCCATAAAGACGGTCATGGAGTCCAACTCTAGTTCCACACAGGACCACCCAAAAGTCAGATTATGTCTGAGAGAGTTACCTGGGCATTTCTTGAACAGCAGCTTCCGCAGCCATGACTACTGCCCTGGGGAGCCTGTCCCATGCCCACCACCTCTTAGTGTCCCACCTATCTTTTTTGAAGAGCCTTTAACTGTCCATCACAGCACACCAGCCACAAGATCCTTCCCACCAGATTAAGCTTGTGCTGATGTCTGAACATCCTAAAGCTTTCCTACTCAACAGAGCTTCAAATGTCCACATTGGACACACCCCATCCCTTTCACAGCAAGGATAGGGCAGGGGAAATGCTGCCGCCCCAAGTCAAGTCCAGGTTCATATAGGCTCCCTTCACAGAGTCAGTTGTGGGGAAAGAAGAAAAGATAAAGTAAAAGGTAATATGCATGTGATTTAATTCCAGTACTATCTTTTCTCCCCCAGGTTGTTTTACAGTGAGCCCAGGATGAACCCATGACTTCCCTACTGTAGGGTAAGCATATGAGGATTTGCTACTTCTATCCTTTTTTGAGTTCTTACCGTCCCAGCCTGCTACTGAAACTGAGAGGCAGGAAAAGCACTTTCTGAAAAAATCCTTCTTGATACTAGGAGATTTGAATCGTGGTCTTTGAGGTTTATTGGCATGACATCAGTAGAGATATAGTTTGTGTTTGAACTGATTGAACTTCTTCTCCTACCTGCTCCCCTCAAATAGTATATGCTTAATCAGTTATGTGGGAGACGACAAGTGGACTTTTAACACAACAATGGTCATAATTTTATGAGAGAATGTGATGTTTTAGGAAAAAAATGCGATTTTAGTCTCTTACATACCTTTTTATATGTTTATAAATCAAAGGCAATGTTTATCAGTGTTTTACAAAGAATGGCTTCTGATTTAACTAAGAAAATTAATTGAACCAGTACTGTTGGTATTTTTATAAAGATGGTTAAATATGGATGCTTAATGCACGCTTCACTGTGACACACGTCACCTAAGGCTTTCTAGGAGAGCCTTATTGTTATAGGAGATACTCAAGTCCAAAGACCATCCTTGGTCCAGTGAAATCTATTCATGACCTGTAAGACTATTTATGAAATACATGAAAATGTTTTCAGTATGTTTTCACAGTGTTTTCAATCAAAGGTAATTTTGTCTTCAGGTTTTTTCCAATATCCAAATCCTATCCTTGGAATTTTCCTCTAATTTTCATATAGACCTAGTGGAGAGGGACAGTCTGTTGTGACCGATGAATTCTGAGCTTTCAGCTCTCCAAAGAGAGAGACAAGTACATCAGATTATGCACATTTTAATTAAGTAAGTTAATCACCTTCTACATTTGGCATTTTCTTAAGCATAAAAATATATAGTAATATGATTCATTTTAGATTTTCTGACATAGAATAATTGCAGAAATTGCATCAGTCTGAATGAAACAGAGTATTTCATGGTCTCCACGTTCGTTCTCAGGTGCTTGAAAGGTCATTCTCTAATATTCACAGATTGTGAGGCGGTACAGGTTGCATTTTCTGTCTTTCCACTTTCCGTCAGTGTACATCTCTACACATTTTTCTGTCCCTTTGCCATTAGGCTCATACTGTTGCCAGTTGGTATAATTCAGAGGTTGGCCATTCATGTACTTAAATTGACCTGCAGTGTCACTGTCTTTAATACCCAAGTAAGCATATCGGTTATACTGTTTCACAATGCCCATAATAGCTTTATTCTCCTCCTCATTCATGGGAGTTGCAAGAGTTCCTCCAGTCTCTTCACAGGATTCTAGGGCAGATGAAAAATTGACTTCCTTTCCATTGCTGGCAAATATTTTCTCTCCTACTTTTCTTATTTTCCCATTCAAAGCAAGCACTGAAACATGAAAAAAAAAAAAAAAAAAAAAAGAGTTTGCTCACTTTCTTATTTCTTGAAGCATATTGATGAGAAAGCAGAGAAATAAAGAGGCGTAGAGAAAATTAAGTACTCAGTACACAAAACTTTTCCATGACCTACAATGATTTCATTGCTGGTAGATAGAAACAAAAGCAGTGGATGACAAGGGTGAAGAGTTTCCATGAATCTGTGTGGAAATTGCAATGCCATTCAGATTTTTAGGAAATAGGAATAAAATTTGAATAAATGTATTCAATGCTCCTGTGAGAAGTCTGCATTTTTCTCTCCCACTAAGAAAATACCTTTCTTTAATGTTCCTTTTCTCATATGCCTAAGTACATCTTGCTTCACAATTCAAAAATGCAGAACATTGTCAAGTGCAAAGCAACACTTCAGGCTGTCTTACAAACAAGCTTTGTGCTGCTTACTGGACATCTAATTGTACTGGGCATTACTAGAGCATCTAAGAAAATCCAATTTATTCTTAATAGTCCTAATAGGTAACCAATTGCACAATTTCTTTTTTTAAGATGGTGTAGACAGACTACATCTTATTCTACACTGTCAGTAGTAGGAATAAGAAACCTAATTTACCTTTAAAGGTTTGGGTCTACTTGACCTAAGACCAAAACTTAGTAGCACTACAGGAAATGAGTACAAGCTCTACAACATTCCTAGGACACCTCAGTGATGTTTCACAAGAAGTTCTAGTTTTGGAATGTAGTTCTGTTTTTTCAAGCATGATTTCTTTTCTACAAGTCTTGATTCTGTAATTGATTTTGCCCATTGCACTGGAAATGATTGAGAGCTAAAAAATTAAAAATGAAAAAGCTACCTCCTTCAAGCTGGAAAAGTCGTTGTCTTAGATTCAGCAAAACATTGCGGAGTTCATCGTCAAAAGAAGTAGATAGATCTAAACAGGTGAAAATAGAAGTTGCACAATCAGGAAAAGGAAGGTTCTGGTTATAAAAATCACAGAATGGCCCACGTTTAAATGGATCTCAAGGATCGTGAAGCTCCAACCCCCTGCCACATGCAGGGCCACCAACCTCCCCATTTAATACCAGACCAGGCTGCCCAGGGCCCCATCCAACCTGGCCTTGAACACCTCCAGGGATGGACGGGGCATCCACAGCTTCTCTGGGCAGCTGTTCCAGCACCTCACCACTCTCATAGTAAAGAACTTCCCCCTGACAACCAGCCTAAATCTTCCCTCCCTCAACTTCAAACCATTTCCCCTTGTCCTGCTGTTATCTGCCCTTTCATAGAGTTGACTCCCCTCCTGTTTGTAGGCTCCTTTTAGGTACTGAAAGGCTGCAGTGAGGTCATCCCACAGCCGAAATCTCATGTGTCAATGTATCTCACTGGATAAAACTAACTTTTTTTTCAAAACTAACCAGTGTATAATGTATTTTAACTACAAACCAGGGTAAAATAATTTTTTTTAAAATATTTTGTCACTTTCTGACTAATCTGTACCAAAATAAACAAAGAAAACCCCACAGCCCTCGGAAAAGCTCAGAAATTTACTTATACACAGAAAAAGCCTATTAAAAACTATAAAAGAAAAAATATTTTTTATAGCTTGGAGTTTATGTCATGTCTATAAGAGTGTAAAGGTCCTAAGATAAAATATTTTACCATGGCTTTGCAAAGAAGACTTGTTTCATTCTCATAATTTTTACTGAACTGGCACAATGGCTATTTTTGAGAGGTTCTATTTCCTCTGGTGTCAAGCAAAATTTAGATTATAATTTTATTTTTATGTTGCTGAATGAATGCTTTATGTCTTTATTCCTTATTTGAAGGGAACCTAAACACTGATACAGGAGAGTTTCCATGTAGATGGTTCAAAATGCACTGGACGCTTAAGATGGGGACTGACTGTAAAGGTAGATGTTTATTTCATGCTTATTTCCACCAGTAACAATGATCCTAAACATACTAAGAAATTACTGGGGTGCTTTTGTGATCGTGTTACCATTAGTGAAAAATAGCACATTTGACTTGAAAAAGCAGTCACTTTTCTGACAAAATGTTATACAGAGATCAGCCTCTTTCACCTAGTGCTGCAAACCTGCAAACTCCTTTCACTCCATTCTTACCTTGCTGTCTTTGTAACCACTGACGTTCAGTAAGTTTCTCTTTTCTGTAAGGCTGCAGTAGACCTCCTAAATATCTATTGAGACCTGGATGAGAGGAGCATAATTTTATTTCTAAGGGGTAAACATCTGGTGATGTTCAGCAAACAACAGGACTTGTATCTAACAAATTGCAGTTTGAGATTATGAATAACTTTTTTTTATTGCTTTCAGCCTAGTAATGGACCTGAAATACAATTACACAATGCAAATTATATTCCTCAGAAAGATACTTTTCTGTGTATCATTTTTGAATGCTGCAGAAAAATACTAGGCACATTTTTGTTACATTTGTAATTACCTACTAGAATAGTATTTTATTCAAACAAAAAATCTTTTGCTGTAGAAGAAGCAATTCCTTTTGGAAAGGCAACAGAAAAGCACTATATGTATATATGTATTATTTTTCTATGATTAAACTATGCTTTTCACAGAAAAGAGAGGAGGTCTATCTTTTAGGAAAAATATCAGGCCAGTATTTCCTCCGTTCAGTTTTTCCCTCCACCTAACAGCACCACTTGCATGAGAATATATGCCCTTCCATGCCAGTCATTTAGCCTTCAAAACAAGGAATTTTTCCAAAAATGGAAAGTTTGCTGTGTGCTGGAACTATGGACAAAAGATTAGAGCAGAAAATCACATTCAGGATTTACTAGCATTTGAAATCACTGAACACTGAAATTCATCTTCTATTGTCTTATTTTGTCTGAATGAAAAGAAAACAAATAATTATTTTCTTACTGAAGAGTAATGATTAATACATATACATGAAGAGCATTACTATTGTTACCTCCCAGACCAGGCAGTCCACTAACTCCAGGGATACTGGGTAGCTCAGGAGCTCCTGCACAGTTTTGTGCATGGCAAGGCATTAGTAAAGCAACTGCTGCTGCAATCATGCAGAATGAGTAAGACAACATGGTTGCTCAGGGAAGCTGTAAGAAAATGCACGTATCTGTTAAGCAGTGATTCTGTAAAACATGTAGGCAGAGGCTGATAGAATAGCTTTTTTTTGTTCCCTTCTTGAAATATATTCTATACTTCAAATAAAGTAAAGTTTAAGGTATATGATTTTTTTTTTGCTACTGTAGCCTATCCAATAAATGTTTCTAGACTGATATCAACTGACATACGTACTACAGAAAGATTGTTAGACATCTGGGAGTAGTGGGAGCAAATAATCATTTTTGCTATTACTGATGATTTGTTGGATTAATCCTTGAGAAATGAGCTCGTGTAGAACTGACCAAGTTTAACCCATTACTTGTTTATAAGACCTGTAATCACTCAACAAAACATAGACATATATGACACCAACCTGAAAGGCACAATCTGTTACAGCAGTCATTGCAAAGGTTTGGAGCTACTTGGCAATCTCTTTAAGCATGATATGAGTTAGGCACACTTACGTGAAATAGGTTGAGTGGAAGAGCATTTTACACATGGCCAACATTTTATAGCTCAATTGATATTACAATTCTGTTTTTGAACAAAATTCTACAAGCTTGAAGATGTCTAAGTTAGTGTTCCAAAAAAAGCATGTTTTCTGGTTGCCAATAGGCCCACTCATCTTATTTTATCCTTTCTGGCATAACATTAAGGAAGGTCATAATTTTTGTAATTTTTGAGATATCATGAGTAGAAAGTGCTGTCAAACCACGGATCACTGTAGCATTGGCCAATGCTGTGTGGTTATAAAACTTGAACTGATGAAAAATAAGATGTTATGTCATGGAGATATTCGGTTATTGACATTACTCAGCTAAAAATGAGAGAGAAAGACAGGTTCAAGATGCCAGAACGAGTATCCAGTTTTAAAGACATGACCCGGCTGGGCTGATTCTCATATAAACCTTGACTTCACACTTTACAATGAGATGACTATGTACTATTCTTTTAGCTAACAAATGGGTGTTCATCAGTTAGTACACAGAATTTGTTTCAAAGCATATATGGAGAGCAGAATTAGAATCTCAGTTTATTATTAGTGCCATTTATTGAATGGATATGCACAACTGGATTGAGTTTTAAAAATATGCAATACAGTTTCATCTGATAGGCTGACTTTATTGTAAAAAGCTTTTTATGTTATTGTACGTATACATCAATACTGAATATTTTTAAGAGCGAAACTTGTTTGGTCTAGAGAAATGTCTCATCAAACTCAGTTTGGTGAAGCATTCCTTTGAATATAAGAATATTCATTTATGTCTTAAGTTTTAGCACAGATGCATAGCTTAGGTCATAGTGCCAGTTCCTCATGGCCAGGATTATCTTCTTTAACAAGTACATTTCTAATCAACCTGAGAACCTGCATGCCGTATTAAAGCACTGTCACATTTCAAGCACTGAATCTGAACTGTTTCAAATTGTTTACCATTTCCTGTGTTGAAGGCTAATAGATCCTTCTGACAATGCTGGTCAATGACTGTGGAGAACAGACTATAAAAGGCTGTAATAGAAATTACTTTAGCTGGCCATACTTATGTCACCAAGATAAGAGAATGCAATTACAACAGGTACTTTTCCTCTGGTGCTGATCATTCAGGGAACTGCTTTTAAATGAACTATTGGACCCAGCTCATAATTGGATCATGATGCACAGCCAGAGTTCGGATCAGTTATATAACAAAATGGAAAGACAGCTCTTCAGTTTTAATCTACTTTTAATGACCTTCATTCAGTCACCAGAGTCTGGTATCCTTCAGGCATCTCCGCATTCAGTAAAATTACCAATATAAGTGAAAAAAAAAAAATACAACCTCCCCTCCCCCCCATCACTTTTAAAGCAAAAACATTAACTTTTAAATGTAAATGTGACCAAAGAAATGGAATGGAAGAGGTTTCCCTACTAGCTGAAGTTCCTTGTGATTTATGAGAAGTCAAACTTACCTTTCTGCTTCAAAGTGAAAATGAGCACTTCTCACAAGGCCCCTTTATATAGTGTCATTCTTGTTCAATGACACTGTGCTGAAGCAGAGATTGGATAAGCAGGGCACAATTAAGCCTTCTTAGTTTTGCTTACACACTTGTTATGCAAATGCTGAGAGAAATTTTTTATGCTGATAAATATGAATTTGTATTATAAAAGAAAAAGTTCAAGTTTCATTTTTTAACAAGGAAAAACAATTCAACAGGTAACTCCAGAATTGTAGTTTCATACAAAGGCACAAAATTTCAATAGAATTCCAATGAACGTAACAATTTTGTTCTGGTTTTTATGAAAACCAAAAATGAGATGTGGCCACCAGTGTTTTTAACAGATTGAGGAGATACCAGTCTCCTTTTTTA